CTGAGGCTGACTGGGGTTCAAGGAGACAGAAGCAGAGATACAAAAAGGCAACCCAGTCAAGGAAACACACAAACAGGCAGACGAGCTCCGAGCCAGCTCCCATGTCAGAGGATGAAGAGAGCACATCCAGCCAGTCACAGTCAAAGAAACAGGACTACACTGCAAAAACAGGCCAGGCTCCAACATCTATAAACAAAGGTGTTGATGGCAGCAGCACAGCTGATATTTCTCTCCAGGATGGCGTCACAGCCAAACAGGAACAGAGGTGGTGAAGATACTATGAGAAAAGACAGAGAGAGCAGAACGTTAGAGATTGAACTAACAGATTCTGAAGAATAGGAGAATAGAGATAGAATGAAGCGGAATGATGAAATGGGGGTCCCTATGTCCTCCAGAAGTCTAAACCTCTAGCAGCATAACTATAGAGATAGCTCAGGATAACCTTATCCACTCTAACTGTAAGCTTTATCAAAAAAGAAAAGTTTTAAGCCTATCCTTAAAAGTAGACAGGGTGTCTGCCTCACGGACTAAAACTGGTAATAAAGGCTCCTTTTTAGTTATAAGGCTCTAAAGTTATAAGAGCCTTATAACAGATTTCTTATAACTAAAAGATCTGTTATCTAACCTAGATGGCTTCCTTTGCAAAGAAACTTTGAGACAGTTAAAGGAAATTGAGTTTTTTGAGTTTGCAATAGGCACTTTATTTACGGAGCCTGTGCTTTGGTTTGAATTTATTTCCATTTTTGAATTTTTGTTTTGGTCAGATCATGTTAAATAAAAAAAATGCATGATAAATGTGCATTTTCCATCATGTTCATCCCAAGCAAGATCGCGAGCAGTGGTGACTCCAGAAATGTTTCACGGGGGGCCAGATTGGGCCACTAAAAATCTTGGGGTGGCACACTGAAACTAAAGCCATAATTTCAGCGTTTGAATCTACTATTGTGGTAAACCTGCTTGTAGAAATTATAAAGACTTAAACACCTACTCATACTTTGGTTCATTGTGTGATTTTTAGGGTTACGTCGCTTGCTGTGCATAATGGGATAAAATGCTAAACTCAGGCAACTACAATTTTCACTGATGAGTGGGGTGCCAATATGGTCAATATGTGCTTTCAGGATGTAGTTTTACTGGACAATACTTTTATTTCTTCATAGGAAATGTTCATTTCTTGCAACATCATTGACCTCAATATCACTGGATGAAAAATGGGCGTATTTTCAAACAAAAATGTGCAAAATGCAAGTTTATTTTGAAAGGAAAATTTTTGCTCCAACGTTTGTATTACTTTATATGTTATATCTGTGGTTCCCAATGTTTTATTGGTGTCCTCCCTTTGATGTAAAAGAAAGTTTTAGCACCCTTTTCAACCAACCTTTTTGACAGTTTGACAAAGAAAGGTCAAATGCTGTACACCATGAAGTAATCCCCAAAACTACCACCTTTAAACTTTTTTGTGTAACAGAAATTAACATTGCCATCAACTTTTTTTGTGATTACACCACCTGTAATAACAGTGAGCCCACAGTAGGGGGCACTTTGCAAAACAACAAGGCTCCAAAAGGAGATTTTTGTTTGTGATGGCCACCATGATTAGTCATATTTTATGGAGAGACACCCTGCAAACCAGGGGACTATGAAGGTAGATTTATTTCTTTATTATTTAATTAGAGAAAAGTTTGCTTGATCAAAAAATATATTTTCAATTAAAAACAGCTTCACTTCAATGAAAAACAAAACTTTTCAATCAAAGAAAAAAGTGTTTGAATACATTTGAACACACCAATAGTGCCATGCAGTGAAAATTATCTATGCTACATGCTAAAGTTAGCCTTACCATGTATCAATTACAAATTTCACTAGTTTACTGGCTGTTGATTATATTTTCAACCTAATATAGAAAAGTGTATTGATTTACTATGTTAAAAAAAAGTTTTAAGAAGGTAAAAATTCCTTTTCCTGAATTTGTGGGTTTTCCATTGTGGATCGTCTACCGATGTAGTGGGAAAAAAAGTATTCAATTATCTACTCCAGTTAAATAAATGGAGATTGATGGATTTCACTCAGTCGGCTCTTAATTTTTATCTTTGCAAAGAGAGAACAGTTAATCATACAGTCCTTATGCATGGTAATCCGCCCTGTTCTAAACTGGGCAGCGCCCTGTTCCTATTATTTACAATAATGGAAAGTAGTCAGAGTAAAAACAAACTACAGACACTTTGTTTAAACAGTTATGAATAAATCTTGAGAAAGAATCTAGTTTTTTATGGGAAGAAGGAATGTCTTGTCTACAAACACCCTCACGCAGGGCAACTGTGTGGCCTTGCAGGGGAAACAGGCTTAGTGAAAACTTTCATAGTGAGTAAATAGCATAAATTAATATATGAAATAAGAGAAACTAATTTTTCTGACCACAGCCGAACATCAACCTCTCAAACTTCTTTCAAGCGATCTCTCAACTCCGATTTTTAAGGTATTTTTACTAGTGATTATGAAAATAGCAGCCCCTTCATTTCCAGAGTGCAACGATCACATTTCCAAATAAGGTATGGGACTGACAGGGGTCCATCCCTGCCCCTTCCTCTTTGCTGCAGCGAGGTCCTGCTCGTTTTGCTCAGCTAGAAGCTGCTCTGTTTGATAGTTCTGTAATATGTGGAACTGTTGAGAGCTCCATGAACCACGTGGCTGTGAGTTAGCAATGTCAGAGAGTGTCAGAATCTTACTTTAAAGGCGAAGGGGATGTCATTTGGTTAAAAAAAAAAACACTGGATAAGGGCTGAAAATCCTGCTAACTACATCCATCCGAATAGCAACTCTCCTGAATGATAGAAACGTCTCCCAAACAGAGCGAAGGAGCGTAATTTTTCTACAAGAGAAGACAGGATAGAACGTGCACCATCACAGCTATGCGCTCTTTCAGTTATTAAATGTGAAGTTGTGATTAATAATTGCACTATTGTGATTGCTTAATACCTTTTTCTGTTTTTTGCAGGAATTTGACACCGTAGGGCAGTGCTGTAAACACTATGCATCTGAAATGAAATGCACAGCGGTGAACTCTGACGTGGTTACACCGTGTTTGCTCTGAATGCACCTTTGTGACTAAAACTTCTTTTTTTTTATGTTGTGAATAAAGTCATTTAAGGATAAAAATTTATTATTACGAGAGTAAAGTTGTAATAAGACAGGAAATTATCAAAATTTGAAGTGAACCAGACTGGGGCTTCAGCCTGAGCCCAACGTTTAACTCTTAACTAAAATAGTTTATTTTCCTTTTTATTCTTGGAATAGGAAAAAAATGTGTTTTTATAACATTAAGGCCTCGTTCTTATGTTTTGTTAAGAATGAGGCCTTATCAAAACAGGCCTGCAGCGGCCCAGCAGTGATGGTCCATCTTATGGGATAGAAAAATAAAAATGGAACCCCCTTCAGTTTAGCTCCACAGACCAGCAGTTGAGGAATCCTTCTGACAATCCTTATGGCCCCTCCGCCCTCATCTTTAGAGGCTGCCCTCTACCCACCTCTGTTTCTATTGATCTGGTGTATATGTCGATTTATATTGGTATTGATTTATTGCTCTGGTTGGGTTTGTTGGAACTCTGTACAGCTTGTTTCCATAGTTTATTGTCTTATCAATGATTGATCCCAGTGGAGAATGTAATCAAAATACTCTAACTACCCATCACCACACCTCTCCATCAGGGGTGGATTTAGAAAATTTGGGGCCCTAGGCTGGTGATAGGAACCAGCACACCATGTGACAGAAAATGGATAGATGGATGAAATAAGCTGCATG